AGAATAAAAATGTTACTAAAAAGAGAAAAAGTAAGTTATAACCAAAAAGTCATACGGCCAACTTATCCATTATCACAATAATCACTTTTAGAATGTTGACAGGCAGACACTAATTGAGTCATTTTCTGGTGAGAAATTTTATCTGATTGAAGTCATTGCCTTCATACTCCAGTACTTGAAGGACCTGTTGATAGACCATCACTGTCGCGGTGTTACACCATTGAAGACAACAGATTTTGATTGGGTCATTACTGTACCTGCTATATGGGATGCAAGAGGAAAAAGAATGATGAGAGAAGCTGCTTATATGGTAAGGAGACTAATAAAATTTGAATTGTTCCATTATCATTGCCATAATTATAGGCTGGTCTTCTAACAGAGTCTAAAAGGATCAGTGAGTTCACTCCTATATCAAGTAGTCCTTTACCAGTACCAGATGAAGTTAATCCCGACATGCTTTCACTAGCATTAGAGCCTGAAGCTGCAGCTCTTTATAGCCAGGAAGCAGTAGCAGAGCAGATCAAAGGTCAGCCATTAGCAGCAGCTATCAGTCATCCAACAGAGTATATGGTGATTGATGCTGGAGGTGGTACAATAGATATCACTGCTCACGTTGAAGTAGATGGAGGCATTGTAGTCCAGAATGTACCTAGTGGCAATGCATGGGGTGGTACACAGGTTAATGAAGAGTTTTCTAAACTACTTCAGGAAATCATTAATGATCCTGGCTTCAAAAAATTTATTGCTTCAGGTGATTACACGAAAAATCAAGCTACACTAAATAAAATTGTATACAATGAGTTTGAAAAGCAAAAGGTGCTTTTTGGCCAAGGAAAAACACAAGAAATTGCAGTAGAACTTCAAATTAACTTCGTCAAATTTTATGAGAAAGCTCTTTATGAAGGAGTAAAGAAAATGAGTGGCATAGAATATGAAGATGACACACTTTACATTGGTAAAAGTGTCACAGAGTCTAAGCTGTTTGGTTCTGCTATCCAAGGCATTATTGATTGCACACTGTTAGCTATTGAAAAAATTGACAACAATACCAACACATTTTACCTGGTTGGTGCTTTTGGAGGGTGCAAATACATTCATGAAAAGGTCAGTCCTGCTATAGAAAGGTACTATCAGTCAAAAGGTCACACTGACACATGTTCTGTAATAGTACCTCCTACTCCTCACTTAGCTGTTGCTACTGGAGCTGCTATGTGGCGTAAGAAAATTCATCTCCTGAGACCCTTATACACCTTTATGTTACTCTTGTTCGTCCCATTCTCGAGTATGCCTCCCCAAT